TGTAGTATTAATTTCAAACTTTAAATACCAAATTTGAAACAATTCCGGTGAATAATGACGCTAAAATCATCGAAATACCGAATATCGGGAGGTACCGTTATATGGGGGCTATACGAAGACGTGGACATGCACAGATAATATTCTGTCATAGGCTGTAGTAACCATTTCAAACTTTAAATACCAAATTTGAAACATTTCCGATGAATATTGTCGCTGAAATCATCAGAATACTGAATATCGGAAGGTACCGTTATATGGGCGCAATACGAAGACGTGAACCTGCACAGACAATTTTCTGTCATAAGCTGTAGTATTCATTTCAAACTTTAAGTACAAAATTTGAAACAATTCCGATGAATATTGTCGCATAAATCATCAAAATACCGAATTTCGGGAGGTACCGTTATATGGGGCTATACGAAGACGTGGACCTGCACAGACAATTTTCTGTCTTAGGCTGCAGTATCCATTTCAAACATTAAATACCAAATTTGAAACAATTCCGATGAATATTGTCGCATAGATCATCAAAATACCGAATATCGGGAGGTAACGTTGTATGGGGGCTATACGAAGACGCGGACCTGCACAGATAATTTTCTCTCATAGGCTGTAGTATTCATATCAAACTTTAAATACCAAATTTGAGACTAGTCCCATTAATATTGTCGCATAAATCATCAAAATTCGGAATATCGAGAGGTATCGTTGTATGGGAGCTATACCAAAACGTGGACCTACATGGCCCATTTTCAATGCCAAAAGTCCTGCAGACATAATATACATTTGAGTAAAATTTTATCAATCTACTTCAATTCGTTCGGAAGCTAGAGTGATTTCCACAGACAGACGGACATCGCTAAATTGACATAGAAGTTTATGGGGATCAAGAATATATACACTTTGTGGGGTCTAAAATTTATATTTCGAGGTGTTACAAACGGAATGACAAATTTAATATAACCTCCTTCCTATGGTGGAGGGTGTAAAAATTATTGCGTTTGACTTTGTTGTAGTTTTTTTTATTTTACCCTGTAAGTTTCCGTATATGGCTGTTATAAACATATTTGATTGATAATTTTTTTTCTCCCGACATTATTTCTTTTTCCATTATTTTTTTGAATCATGTCCTTCACATTATTCCTATTAATCGAAAAATATCGATTATATCGAAACAACTTGCAAATACATCGAAATAACAATATCGCATATTTGACTAATATTTTTCTCTCGACAATATTTCTTTTTCCATAACTTTATAAATAATTTTCTGCATATTATTCATAGTTTTCAAATATATTTTTTGTAATCATACAACTGAATTTCCCTACTGCATTCCAAATAACAATAATCGTTGATTGATTGAATTGACATATCTGCCCAATTGGGAAATCCTCAGCCTATATTTGAATTGATAACACACGAAATCGATTGGGTTATCAATATTTTGTAACTCAATTTTTTTTCTGAGATATTCATTCTCTTATCAAATGACCTCAAGTAGTAATTCAAATAAATGAGATGACCTAAATTTTCCCTCCCCAAAAATAACAATTATGTTATTTATGCAGCTGTGGGTGTTTGTTTGACTCCAGCCAAGCATTGCAATTTCCTGATGAATGAATGGAAAGTTGGAAAAATTATTTCAAATGTAATTTTTTGGAGTTTGTCATGCCGCCACTCATCCTCATCATGATCATATGTAGAAAAAAAAAAAAACAAAAATATTTATATTGTTTAGTTTCGCCTGAGTTAATTTTCAATTAAAGTAAAAGTTGTTGACTGCCTGGCCTGGCCAACCTCCTCCCACAACTTGGCAACTGTTTTGTTTTGATTGTTATTGTGATTATGAAGCGTAACATTAGAGAGAGAAAAAATGTATTTTTTTTAATTAGACTCTATATTTTTTTCTTTATCATTATAAACAAATCATGAATAGAGTTGGTTGTCCATCAATGGCTGACTCAAAGAAATTTTGTGACTTCATTTTTTCGCCATTTCTCCATAGCGAACCATATGTTAATTAGAGAAGCTATGGTATGTGTTGTTTGTGCTCGCTTCTGATATCGCATGATAAAGCCGGTTCAAGTAACACATAATGAGCCTAATTAAATTTAATAGTAATTTTCATTAAATCAAAAGAAAGCTCTTTGAAACGACTACACTGAGCGAAAAAAAAAAACGGACGGGTGATAAATGGCCAATTGCAGTGGTTCGTAGTTTCACTTATTGTGGTTGGCAAAAATGACATGGTTATTAATTTGATATGTGGCGTATAAAAAAATCTCCCATAAATACTAGAGAAAATTTGGATTTTGAGAATTGAGAGAATTTAAAATTTTTCAAATATAACGAAAAAACTGTCCAATATACCTACGCATTTTTCTTCTATTTTTTAAAGTAGCAAATACTATCGAATGTGATGGAATAGATATCGATACATCCCGTAGCTATTCCATCACATTCGATAGTATTTGCTACTTTAAAAAATAGAAGAAAAATCCGTAGGTATATACAAACTCAAATATACGAAAAGAAATATCAAAATAACTATCGAATATCTCAAAAACAACTATCGAATATATCGAATACTACTAAAAATCTAAATTAAATATCAAAATTTCTATCAAATATATCGAAATGAGAATGAGATATATCAAAAACACATCTAATATAACTAAATGAATTTCAAAATATACAGGGTGAGATGAAAAAAAAACTGCAACTCATTTTTAAGTCACTCGTCCGACAGCTGTTAAAATTATTCCAGTGACAGCTCATTATATTGTTTAAAAGCGTACAAAAGCATTTTGGTAAGAATTTTTCAGAAAAAAAGTTATTCAAGATGGAATTAAAGTGTGATAGGGTGATTTCTTTGGCTGGAAAACCACAAGTGGCTATCGTTAGAACACTCCAGCATTTAAATGTGAATAAATCTGTTGTGTCTCGTACCATCGTACCATTATATCGGTAGCGTAGCCCGACGTCAAACAAGTGGACGGAAGAAAACAGCAACATCAGCCGAAATGGTTCGAAACGTAAACAAACGACTTGATCAAAACCCGCATCACAGTGGCCGAAAAATGGCTCATGAGCGGAACATATCGCAATATTCCATTCGGAAAATATTGAAAAATGAATGGAGCTCGGGGTAAAGCCATTGAAACTCCAAAAAGTGCAAGAACTTACACCGCAACAGAAAGAAAATAGACTCAAAAGAGCCTAAGAGTTGCTTTGCTTGGCAAAAGGTGTGAACTGCCGGCAAATATTGAAAAATGGGCTCGGGGTCGGTCATTGAAATTGCAAAAAGTGCAAGAACTTACACCGCAACAGAAAGAAAATAGACAAAAAAGAGCTAAAGATTTTAATTGTTTGGCCGAAAGTGGTGAACTGCCGAATTTGGTTTTCTCCGTCTCTGATGAGAAAACATTCGTTGTCCAGCAGTTTGTAAACAAACAAAATGATCGTTTTTACTTGCCAAAAAGGTCAGCTGAAAATGTGCACCTTCGATTGGCCACCAGAACTCAAGCGCCGGCTATGGTGATGGTGTGGGCCGCCATAACAGCCGATGGTTGATCTCCGCTCGTACTAATCGACCATGGCATCAGAATAAATAACGAAAATTATCGCAAAAATATTCTGGAGGGTGTATTAAAGCCTTGGGCACGCAAACGTTTTGGCCGCAGACCTTGGACATTTCAACAGAACTCAGCACCCAAGAATGTTTACAAAACGAGGTTCCTCGCTTCATTTCCAGCACACAATGGGCACCAAAATCTCCGGATACCAATCCGATGGACTATTGTGTCTGGAGTATTTTGGAAAGCACTTTGGAAGCACTAAAAAATACCAAAGTGTCGATCACCTCAAGCGGGCGCTTAGCCGGGAATGGGCCAAAATACCGCAGATAAACATTCGGGCAGCGTGTGATGGTTTCATTGGCCGTTTGAAAGCCATAATTCGTGCCAAAGGTGACCAATTCGAACAAATCTAAACTTATTCTAAAATCTGATGCTTTTTCCGAAATTTTTTGCTTTCAATCAATAAAATTAAAAAAAAATGTAAAAATTATGGCGTTTGACTTTGGTGCAGTTTTTTTATCTCACCCTGTAGTTTTAATGGGTATTTCATGAGTAGCAATCGATGGAATCTGAGATCTGAGGATACACTTTATTGGTGTAACTTTGGTCGGAATGTTTCCCTTTTTTTAAGAGATATTCAAAAAACTTATCTAATTCCGAAATTTTATCAAATATAATTTTGAAAAATAATTATGGAGTTGAATATGATACCATTTTATTTTGGATGCCAATGTCGAAACAATTTTTTATTAGTTTTAAATTAGAAAAAATCTTAAGATAAATTTGTATTAGCCTTCAGGTCCTTTAAAAAAAATTCTATTGGAATTTGGCGAATTTAAGTTTTAACATTTTGATCTGAGAATCAGCACATTCTGCAAAATATCTCATTGGAGCTTCAAAATTTGAACATTTAATAATTTTTTTTCTTGCCGCCTAGAAACCCTGACCTTCCTGGACAAAACTTCAAAATTTCCGAAAAATTTATCAATTTTTTAGAACATTTTTAAATTTTTTAAGAGACCCTAAGGCCCATATCCCTCTATCTGATATCTATGGTCAGAAGAATATATTTGAAAAAACTTCGTTTATTTTATTAAAATAATAAATTTTCAAAATTTTGGTTTTCTCACTGATGTGTCGAAATTTCAAACTTTTCACTAGAATAGAAGATTTCTAAGATTACGACAAAAAAGTAATTTCGAAGAAAAAGTCCAAAAATCCATGTCAACAATTTTTTAAGCAATATCAGATCCAATTCGAATTTTTTTCACTGAAATCCTCGCATTTTGGCCAAAAATATTGACAATTTCTTTAAATTTAAAAAAGAGACCCAGAGGCCCCATAACTCTCTCTATATCATATCTTCCCTACGCAAAACCGGTATTGAATTTCACAAGAATGGGATAAAACGAAACTTACAATTTGTTCCAATTCCGTAATTGGCATGTTGTTGTTATTATTCGATGATGTCGAGGTGCCCGAGGCTGATGAAACTGTCGACGATGTGGAACGGGAGGTAGCACAATTTGAATTTTTATTCCTTGGTGGGGTGGGTGGTGGTACCGGACTAGTTGTATTCAATGTCGAACAATCTTTGGAATTGCGATTGGGTGAGAGGCGTGACGGAAAACTTAACGTTTTCGTCCACTGGGCCAGGCTGCGCACCATTTTTGTGGGTTTTTTTAGTGAGAGAATATATCCGTGTTAGAAGAAACTGAACAATGTCAGAAAGTAAAGTAATATCCAAGTTTGTTTTGAACTCAAAAATTTGCAAAAAATTTTTTTAAATTTTTTTAAGTTTTCAACACCAATTTTTGTTTCTTTTTTGCAATCTTTTATTTATTTGAATTTCTTTGCATTTGAAAAATAAAATTTTCACTGTTTAGCATTTCACAAATTCTCATATTTTTTATATTTCTCTTTATTGTGTGTTTTCGTTCTAAGTGTTTTGTTTTGAATAATTTTTTTAAATAAAATTTCTCAATTTCAATTTGAAAAACGCGTACCGTTCATGCCGCTTGTTCGTAAGCAACTGAATTTAATAAAATTGTGAAACTTCATACTTCTTGGCACTGAGTAGGTCTTTTTGTATGTGATAACGCAACGGAGTTAAGACAATGGCGAGAGAGCGAGAGAGAGCCGGAGAGCTGCAAATGCGCAAATGACTTGATTGTTGTTGCTTGTTTTGTGTGTGGGGTTTTTGTTCGGTATGCTTCCATAAGCGCTGCTTGCGAAAGATAGGTATTTACTTTGGGAATGGGAAAAAGACATCATCCACCACCAACTTTGCCAACAGGCAAGGCGACACACACACACTCCACACACACAAATGTTACCCATAATTTCGTTGTTGTTTTTTTTTTGCTCATCACCACACAAATCCACCACCAGCATATGAAGTGCATGCATTTTTTTGAACCAACATCGTAGCATATGTTCACATTTTGTTTGCTCCCAACTCCAGTCCGTGGGAGTGAAAGAGTTAGCAATTGACAAGAATGCATTTTGAAGAGAGAGGGAAGATCTTTGTTTTGGTTTTTTCCACAACAACAATTGTTAGGAGAATGATTTTTTGTGTGTTTTGATCACATCTAGAGAGGGAGAGAGAGTGTCACAACAGTGATGTCAATGTTGCTTATTGGTTTTCAAATATTTTTTATACCCTCAGCCAAATGGCTAGAGAGGGTATATATCATTTGATACGGTCAAAACGTTCCGAGTCGAAATAACGGTTTTAGACCCTAGGTCTCTTTGGATCAAATCCGTTTCAGGACATTTGGAGTCGATCTAGCGATGTCTGTCCGTCTGTCTGTCTCTCTGGCTGGCTGGATGGCTGGTACGCTCGATCGAGTTCGGAGATGGTCAATATCGGCCCACTCCCTCTGGAACCTCCCCTACAAAAGGTCAAACTTTTAAAAAATATATATTTTCTGCACAGAAAGAGAAACGATAATCTGATTTGATCCAACTTTGCAAATCATAATATTTTCATCAGTGCTAAATCAGGTGCGAAAATGGACAATATTGGTCAACTCCATCAGGTACCTCCCACACGAAATGACGAAATTTTCAAAAAATATATTTTCTGCACAGAATGGCAAAATATATTCCGATTTTGCTCCAACTTTGCAAATCCTAATATTTGCGTGAGTGCTAGGTCAGGTGCGAAAATAGACAATATCGGTCTACTCCATCAAGTACCTTCCTCACAAAGGGTCAAAATTTTGAATAATTTCAACTCTTATAAAATGTGATGTAAGAGTCCGATTGTCTTCAAATTTCACACGTCCCAATAATTTTATTAACCCATGGCCTCGTGTTAAGGTGAAATACATCTGTCCACTCCTTCTGGTACCTCCCCCACAAAAGCTCGAAATCTTGAATATCCATTAAGCTCATAAATCCCGAAATTAACATCCGATTCTATTTAGACTTGGCACACCTGAATATTTCCATCAAGAAAAGATCTGTCGTAAAGATGGTAGAGATCGGATCATTCCTTCTGGTACCTTCCCCACAAGGGGTCAACGTTTTGAATAACCAAAACGATCATAAAATCCGAAATAAGCATCCGTTTCTCTTAAAATTACACACATCACAATATTTTAATTAACATAAGGTCTAGTGTGAAGATGGAATATATTGGTCCACTCCTTCTGGTACCTCCCCCACAAAGTGTCAAAATTTTGAGTATTCATGAAGCTCATCAAACGTCAAATTAATCTCCGATTTCATTTAGACTTGGCACATCTGAATATAAAAACGGTAGAGATCGGTCCACTCCTTCTGGTACCTCCCCCACAAAAGTTCGAAATCTTGAATATCCATAAACTTCATAAAACGGGAAATTATCATCCGATTCCATTCAGACTTGGTACAACTCAATATTTCCATCAACACAAGAACTGTTACAAAGATGGTAGATATTGGACCATTTCTTCAGGTACCTCTCCCCCATAGGTTTCAAGATTTTTAAAAATAACAATCTCAAAAAAGCGAAATAAGCATCCAACTCTCCAAATTTTACACATACAAACATTTTTACTATTGCAGGATCTGATATATATTTAGGAACCCTTTCTGGTACCTAAACCACAAAGGGTCACAATTTTCAATACTTTTATCTGTCATTATATGCGAAGCAAGTCGGCGATTATTTATCGGAATTTATTGTTTCGCCTAAAAAAATTTTATTGAAAATATAATTTTTCAAAATTTTGGAGATTTTGAATTTTTCATAGAAGTTATGAAATTTTAATCTTTTCACCAGAGTAGAAGATGTCTAAGATAACGATAAAAAGATATTTTTGACAAATCCATATCTAATTTTTTTGTGCATTATCAGGTCCAATTCAATTTTTTTTCAGTGAAAACCACAAAAAAAATTTACAATTTCTCAAAATTGTATAAGGGACTCGATACCACCCCTTTCTCTATTCAAATCATAGATATCTATCTATCTCTCCCATACTAAATCGGTATCGAGCTTCATAAAAATTTTATAAAACGATTTTGGGTTCCTCATTGAAAATTCAATCTTTTCATTAAAGTAAAAGATTTCCAAGATAACGGCAAAAGATAATTTGAAAAGTCCACAAATCCATATCAGAAATTTTTTGGGCAATATCAGATCTATGTTTCTCACAACCAGTAATCTGAAATTATTATGGAATTTATCGGAATTTATTATTTTGCCTTAAAATTGGAAATAAATGTTAGATTATATTGTAATTTTGTCCATGCCAATATTTTTATTTGTATTAAAATTAAAAGATATTCCTTGGTCGACTATATCTGGAACCTTACGCACATTTTTAGCACATTCTAAAAATTATCATATATCTCATATAGTGAAGGAGATGCAAGCCTGGCACGTCGCAATATTTATATCATATTTATTTAGGTCCGATATGAAATGGACAATATTGGTCCATTCCTTCGGAACCTACTCCATAACAATTTGAATAATCATAACAGAAGACAAAATATATTTATATAATTGAACATTGGTTGAGGGTATACATTTGTCGGCAACACCGACTAATACTTTTTAACTTGTTTTGTTTCACTACGACGATATTCAAAATTAAAAAAAAAACGCTAATTTCTTTCCCATTTAGCTCTATTGACAACACTACTATGCCTACATTTCATTGTGAGAACTAGAAGGAGAGAGATTGTGAGGGAGAGCATATCAAAAGAGAGACTTCATTGAGAAATACAAAAGAGTACCTATCTGGTGTAACTGTGTTTCAGAAATTAATTCCAACGATAAAAATGGCCTAAATTAAATTTTTTGAAAAAAAAAAAAAACATAACAGCTGTTGTTTGGCATTTAAGCCAAGTAAAGTACATGTACACAAAATACATGCATACATACATATGTTCATAAATATATTAACGAGCTGATGTTTGTTCTTTAATGGCATTTGATAATGACCGGGCACATTTAATTATCCTTTTTCGGTGTGTGTAACAAACTATGCTTCTGCGATGGGGAAATTTCTCTATTTGTATAGGATCTAATGATTCTGATCCTTTTTTCCTCTTTTTTTTTGTAAGGATCATTAATGTGTCATGTTATGGATAACATATTTTTGTGTGTGTGTTTTTTTAATTTTTTCAAAATTGGATTTTAATGAGTTGCAGAACATATGTTTGAATTCTAGTTTTTCTTTTTCTTTGGTTTTCTTGTGGTCTTTTGCTGGCCATGTCAAAAATCCATCTAGCCAAATGTCTTGCCACTGAATTGATTGCTTGAACTTGTATGACAAACCGAACCAAACCACATTCCAATCAACCTACTTTTTTACATTTTGCAAAATGAAAAGTAAAATACTTTATTACATCCTACATCAGCTCTTCTTGGGCATCCGGTATCGGTATCCAAGTCGAGCCAAACTAAACAGTTGTCGTCCATCAAGCTGACATTTTTTTTGTGGCTTGTCTTAAATTTTTGTTTATTTTTTTGGCTCATGTATCTGTGGTGGAAAAAAGCATCTGCCTTTTTGGCTTTAAACGGCCAACAACAATCACAAAAAATCCGGCTTAAAACGGCCTTGTGAAGGTTGACTGCACACAGCGTCAACATCAACAAAACATCATCGTCGGTCGCAACACCGCTTACCAACCAACCAACCACCACCACCATCAAGTCAAAACATACGTCTCTTTCTCTCTGCATGTATGTGTGTGTGTTCGCTTTGTTTTGGCCAAAAAGGCACGCGTGGTGAAACAGACTCTCTCAATGCACAACAGAGCAATAACAAGAACAACAACAATAAACATTATGGTTTTGTTAAGAAAAAGTTGTTTCGTTAGTTTCGATAATCCAAGCGAAAGCAATTCATGCTGGCCAAACAACAGTGACAACCATTTTAACGTGTTTATTGGCCACTTCTGATAGATCCCCCCTCCCATACTTGTGTTCTCCCCCCTTCTATACTTGTGAACTCTCTGTCGTGGTATATTTTGTTTCATTCTCCACATTCTAAAAGTGATCCACATGCATAAAACAAGAAACACAATATTTAAGTCGTTGGGATTGGCAGTGTTGCCACAAAAAACGTCAAATATTAGAAAAACGCCAAAATTAGAAAAAAGCGCAAAAAATAGAAAAAATATGCAAAAAATAGAATAAAACGCGAAATGTTAGAAAAACCCGCTAAATATTAGAAGAAAACGGAAAATATAAAAAACGCAAAATATTAGAAAAAACGCTAATTTTCGTTTAGATCGACAGTGTTGCTACAAAGAAGTCAAATATTAGAAAAACGTCAAATATTAGACA